AGAGGGTGAACTTCTCACCCTCCGGGCCCACGAAGCTGTGCTGCTGGTTCAGTGGGAAATAACAGCAAACATCAGGCGGCGAATCACCTTTGCGTTGTGGACCAAGCATCAGAGGCTGCAAGACTTTGGAATAAAAGTAGTGGCTGGTCCGGGGGTGCCTAAGCCACGGCGCAAAAACGCAGCTGCAGCGCGGGTGCACTGGCTTCCGCCCCGCAGCTCAGCCCGGCCCTTCTGAGCATGCGCAGCGCGGGCGCCAGCGGAGCAACAAGCAGGTACCGGACATTCCATGACTCATTCCTAGAGAGACGCGCCCCCGCGAGGGCGGCAAAGGCCCGGATGTGCGGAGCCGCGTGTTTGGGGCGCGCCTGCGCGTTAGGGCAGAAGAGGGTGCGGCGCGCGCGCGCTTACCGCTTGCGGGGTTTTGCCTCAGATCAAACGCGGGCGCGCAAAACAAACATTAAAGTTTTTTACTGAGGTAATGTTGAGTTTTAAGAAAAGAAGCAAAGCTTGTCCATGTGGCACAAGGGGGACATAAAATCTCCTCTTTCTCCCCCCCGCACTTTTTTACCTCACGAAAAATGCTGAGGCAGCAAAAAGCATTGAAGTGCGAGGTTTGCTTTGTCATGGATACCACAGCACCGCGTAGGTGAAAAAATCCACATTAAAATCTCCTCTCTCCCCTGTTACACAGAATATGGCTTTAATTCTTCGACTTACAAAAAACCCCACTTTATTTCCTTCGCCGACAAAATGCCAGTAAAAGCAGTAGAGAGGGATGGGAATCCTGAGCCCATGGGGACCATTTTTACCTCAGAGTGAGCCTCCATGTCAAGATCTTTTGACTTCAGTTGCAAATGTGGCTTATCCTGGCCACCACCTCCAGAGGAGTCCCTCCCTGGCTATATTCTATTTATTGCATCTCCACATGAGCTCTTCTCACCAAAGTCTAGTCATAATTTGAGCAAACAAGGCTACAAAGACTTGACCTTTTGTTCCCAGCCAAGAAAATGACCTCTGACATCACCCCAAAAAAGGACCATTTGATCCCTTAGCAACTCCATTCAGCCCAAGATCATCCTCCTCAGTCCCCTTCCTGTGATGGCATAGTTCAGGGTAGGGTTAAATCTCCTGCCCTGTATCTTACTCATCTATTTCACTGAAAGGCCTCCACAGATTTTATGAGGGAAACCAATTGGTAGAAAATGGGAATGAACAGAATAAAATAGTAGCAAGGAACAAAAAGGTTTGTAAGTACCTTAAAATAGAATAATTTTTTCCTTAAACACCAGGACACCAGGTACCTTAAGGTACTGTACTAAGGAAGGTGAAAATGCCTAGGAGGAGAATAATATATATGTGTAATTCCATCATTCCATCAATCACAAGACATGATGGTGGCTACTAACTGGGATGGGCTTAAAGAGAGATTCGTGGCCTTGAAGATTCAGGGCTGCCTCCAGGTTGGGCGCAGGTGCCTGCAAATCTCACTTGCAGGGGAGCATCTCCACCTCCTGCGTGGGATCTCCTTGGAGGCATCTGGCCCAGGATGGCCCTTGGGCTGAGGGAAGAGGGCTCGCCTTAACTTCTCACAGTCTGTGGAGCTCATTCCCGCAAGGCATGGTGGTGGCCCCTATCTGGAATGGCTTTGAAGGGGGATTCATGGAGGACAGGTCTACCCTATCAGCCTTGAAGACTCAGGGCTGCCTCCAGGTTGGGCGCAGGTGCCTCCAGGTCCCACTTGCAGGAGAACAAGAGTGGGAGAGGGAAACATCCCAGTCTCCTGATTGTGAGTGCCCTGAAAACATCTGGTTGGTCCCCATTGCTGGATTAAGAAGGGTCTTGGCCTAATCTGGGAAGAGTAGTTTTAGGTTTAAAAGGGGTACCACCGCACAACTGAAAAGGTGCCATATCCACTTGACTTTCAAGGGGCAGCTGGAAAAGGAAGTCCAGAATGTATCAGTTCAAGGCAGGTTCATCTGCAAGAAGCCCAAGTCTGTAATGACTTTAATTAAAAAAACACTGCAGTTTAACTTGAGTCCAGAAACAAACAGGAAGCTAGTTCCTATAATAATAAACCCACATACAACAACATATTGCAATAAGGAAGCCAGAATGTTGTTACTGGAACCCCTAGAATTGTGGACAAATGAACAGTTGCTAGGAGAGATTTCGCAGGTTTAAATGTTCTTAACTTTTGCTAACGCAATAAATTTAAGAGTTGATTAGATGTCTGCCCACTTCCACATAGACATACTGACATAGTCTCCTATCTCTAGATTTCTGCAGATAGTCTATTCTAATCATTACCCCAGAGACAAAAAAAAGTCTCACTATTTATTCTCCAAAAAGAGCATACAGGATTGCAGATCATGTTAATGGTCTTTAAGAACTGAATTTTATGTTTGTTCATGAACTTTATGGCTCATTTTTTCAAGACTGTACTAGTATTTTTTTTCCTATGGGAATCTATTTCATTAAATAATTGACTAAAATCTCTAAACATCAAAAGGAATTATGCTTACACATTCAAATATTTCTTGTTTTGTACTGCCAGTATTTGAGGATCTGGCTAAAGCAAATAGAATTCTGTGGCAAGACAAAACATATTTTTGTATTATCAAGATCTGAGGCTTTGGTGCAGTAGTGAGAGTAGGATCTTTTTTTAGTGCTCCCCAGCAACTAGGAATTCAAAGGCATATATTGCTGTCTGTGAATCTAAAAGCCACACAGCATGAAGCATTGCAGGTGTTACCTCCACAAAAATGCCTAATTCCCTTAGTATATCTGCTAATTCTTTTCTTAAATAATCTGGGGCCCAATCTAAGCAATAAACATATTGTAAAATCTGATAAAGCAGGAGCCACATCTATACAACAAAACTATTTTTAATTTTAACCCCATTTTATCACATGATTTTTCTCTCAGGGGCTGCGAGAATGGATGTCTTTGTGAGGTTGCAGAAGTTCTTGGAATAAAGATTTGTTTTCACTTGCCAGCACTATTGGATAAAAAAGCACAGTGACTCAATTTGTTCATGTATGTAAGATAAAGATTATATCCTACCTTTCTCTTGCATTAGCATTACTAACATAAAATAGCTCACAAGAGCAGGCAGAAGTAGTCTGGATTTATTATATGAATCTATAATTTGTACAATTATGTGTGTGTGTATAATTATATAATTTTAAAGTATGGTTTCACTCCCTTATCCATGTTTTTATTGAAAGCTTGAAGACATAATAGTTGAAAAAATCTTTTTAGTTTTAGTTTGCATTTGCATAATATTCACTGACATGAAATTATTCATATGAGGACAGAAATTTATAAACAAATACCTTATGAATGCTGGGAATACTGAGAAACCTTTTCACACTGAAAAGGGTAGGGATAGGCATGGTTTCTGAGAATGGGGTGAAGTGACAGTCGCAAGGGCTCCGGAAGAAACAGATTATTGATCAGGATTCAGTCCCAGACATGGGGCAGAAATTGCATTGGTTGCCCTCATTGAGGACCCGGGGGAGGGCTTAGATAAGAAAACATAATGCTGCCGATCCTGAATTTTCAGAGACCTTCAATAACATCAACCATGGTATCCTTGTGAACCGCCCATAAGGGTTGGGATTTAGGGAAACCATTCTGCTTGTTCTTGAGTGGACAGTTCCAGGCACTAGAGAGAGAGAGAGGTTGAGCCCTAAGGTGCCAGTGTGGGGTGCTGCAAGACTCAATCCTCCCCCTCTATTTTATTTAAAATCTGCATGAAGCCACTGAATGAGGTCAAGGTATGATTTCAGGTAAGGTATCATCAGTATGCAGATGAAACCCAGTTACACATCCCTATGTAATTTAAGAAAGGGGAAAGAAAATTGAAACTTAAACCTAGCAAGAGGGAATGGCTGCTGATTCAGGAGACACCTGAGTCTAGGATTAGCCCACTTTAGCTCTAATGGGACTATGTTCCCCAGAAAGAGTTGATCTGCAATCTAACGGTTCTTCTAGACTCTTAAATCCTAGAACAGAATATCTAGAACAGTGATGGCAAACCTTTTGGGCTCGGCATGTAACAAATTCGGAAAATGCCTGATTTGACTCTGCTGGCGTGTTACCCCCACCCACACAAACAAAAGAGAAACCATTCTTTATGTTTATTTATTAAAAAAAAATACGGTCCAGTCATGTGTGATGCTATGTATTATATAAAGAAACACCAAATAATTACAAAAATGAAATATAAGTAAAACAAACTCAGTTTCTTTGGTAACTTAAACAGGGAGAATAGTTATTGCTGGGTGTTGGTGAACGCTGGCATGGCACCCAAAATGTGTTGTGTCACCTTTGACACACGTCATAGGTTCGCCATCACTGATCTAGAATATCTAAGCCAATCTGATTGTGTAACTGTTACCAATCTCTTCTAAACAAATCCGAATATATGGAGTATTTTCTTTAAATGGAATATTTTTAAAATCATACTTCAAAAGAGCAGCATAGTAAATTGTAAATTTATTTTATCAAATGCCACCTTTGTGTGCTGGTTTTTGTTTGTTTGCTGTTGTTTTTTGGTTAGATTATCTGAATGTCTTATGGGGCTTTTCCTCACTTGCACCAAACCATGGCACCAACCAATATGGTACTTGTAATATCTTTTTCTTGCAGTATCCCCTTCATCTCATCTCTAGTTTGTGAGTGAGACAGGCTTAAGCTGACCTTAGCTGTACTGGTGTTAAAGTATTATTTTCCCCCTTATTCTGACACTGCACAAGGGCAGTCTCAACGTGCTTAAATCTGTTACGATTTATCATCCGTTACCTCAGAGGGAAGTCAGCAGATGTCAGTGATGTGAAATAGAGGCAGGAGAGGGATTGGAAATGGGGACATGAAATTTAAGGCCAGTTTAGTATTCTGCTGACAAGAATTGTTGGATCATAGCCTTTCAGCTCCTGGAACAACCTTCTGTTCTCTTTACATTTCCAGTATAAACTGTCTGGAATCAGTCTGTCATCAGTTCTCTGTTGGTGCAGATGCAACACACTTGGGGATGTACTGCCATATGGTGAAGAGAGGAAGTTTATTAACAGATTTAATTGTGATTAGATTACATAATTGGATTTAGATATAGTGTAGGATTAGTAGAGTGAAAGAAGGGGAAATCCTGGGGAATTTCCCCAATTATTAAGATACTGGAATAGGAGGTTCCTTTTTAAAAAGTTGCATGAATAACATATACTTTGCCTTTTCTCCCTGCTCCTCTGCCCTTTTCATAAAACAGATGTAAAGCAAAATTTCTAAGACAGGTTAATGCATAATGACAAGCCAAAACAAGAAGAATGGTAAGTGATCAGTCTGTACTCCATTCCTTTAAGTATTAAAGTAACTATTTTGAGATGAATGCACTGGCTATGTTTCTCACAGCAGGTAGGGATACTACTCCTAGTCCCTCACTGGATGATTTTCCCCCAAGATCTGCAAAGGGTTTTTCCTACTTGGCCCAAACTATGGTACCAATATCTCCTGGTTTTCTGCCTTATCCCCATTTATTTATTTGATTCATATAGCCCCCCATCTCACATAAGTGACTCTGGGTGGCTTACAATAAAGTAGATCAAAACAATAAGATAATAATATACCATAAAAAATGTAGTCAAGCTTCATAAATTACCGTCAACAAAGCCGAGAGACTGACTCTATCACACTCCCAGGGCCTCATGATGCTGCCTCTCTTATCTCTAGTTCATACCTAACCTGAGACAATTCAAAGTCATCCTTAGCTGCTTTGGTTTAAAGGAGCTCATTCCCTCTTCTTCCAGCAGAGTTTTTGCCATGAATATGATATGGTATGCTTCGCTAACCATTCTGCTGCTGATGCGGTCAGAGGGTAGGATCTACTGGCCAGCTCCATTGGCCACTTTAAGCTGTTGGGGGCATGCTCCTGCCCTTCAGTCACCCTAACCTTCCGCTGCACAAAATGTCAGTTTAAACTGTGAGATATCTCTTGGCTGGTTAAGTAAGAAACAGCAAAAATAGGAAGCTTCTTAGGAAAGCTAAAGAAACCATGACTAAAGAATTACGGTGACTGTGGTGAATCAAATGCAAGACCTATATCTAATTAAATATAATTCAGATTCTTGCATCTTTTTCTCCTGCCCATGCAATAGGAAGGCTAGTACCTTTTGGGTGGGAGTGATGGTTTCCACATGCCTCTTGTTTTGATCTGCTATCTGGCTAATTGCTTGTGGGCCTCTAACAACTGGCCATCCCATGAACAGGAAAGAGCCAGGTTCCCCAGCTGGTTATTGCTGGTTCTTTCACCATTGGTTGTTTTATGGGGTTTCTGTTACTTCTGCCGAAAGGGCTTTTGCATATTTGCATTTTTTATTATTTTTACAACTTTTATTAGTTCTGGGAACTTGTGCACATGCATTATACTTGTTGTCTTGATCTCTTGGTGCTCCTGGGACTAGCCTGGTGCAGCTTCCCCTCCCAAAGCAGGGCATCATGCTTTTTCATGTCATTCAGGGGTGGGGGTTTTGCCTACTCCATTCCTGCTTTGGCAGCACCAGCTGCTATGGTGATGATTGTTTTCACCACACATCGGTCAATCACCATTGGGCAAATCTGCAAGTTTGTTCTGTACGTGTTCTCTAAGACTGGTCAACAGCTTCTTCTGAATACTACTTTCTATGAGGTCAAAACTGGACTTCTTGGTCACTTGCTTCAGTATCATCATGACCTTGCAGTACTAATCAGGGTGGAACTCATTCATTACTGATTACTCCCTCCTGCAACACCCCATGCCCTCCGCAGCTAGCTGAGTTATTTTTGAACACAGGTGCAACACCTTTTTAGAATAGCACTATCCTCTTTCTAACAGCTAACAGATGAGGAAGAGGAGTTGCCAGGAGCACTAGGAGAACTCCCTCCCACTTCTTTCTCTCCCTCTCTCTCTCTCTCTCACACACACACACACACACTTACCACATGCTGGGAGGAAAATGAAGCTGGAAGACTCCACCAACCTCTTTCTTTGACTTGGCCCACAATAAGCAGGAAAACTGTATTTGCCAGTACCATGGCAGAATAGGGGCCAGTAATGGGGCCAGCAAATTTAGGCTGGTATACATTTAAGTAGGCTCAAGTACTAGCAAATAGCACAGTTCAACTGTGAGGAAGAGCCAAATTCCTGCCTCAATTAAATCTCTCAGAAATAAGAGGGGCTGAAGAGGAGGAACAGGCATGCTGATATGTATGCCCCCTCACCCCACCCAATGTGTATTCTAGAAGTTAAGGAAAGGAAAGCAGATTTTATTCAAAATTCAGTGGGTATCTTTCCAGTTTCTAGGTAAAAGTCAGAGCCCTAAGCGAAGAATGAAGAGTTGCAAATTTCTATCAAAAAACAGGGAACAAGAGTTGCTCCCAGAGTTGCTCCTGAAAATGGGCATTTATCTCTTATCACAGTCTCCAAATGAAATAAAAGAAGGTGGTGTTGTCAGGTTATAGATCAAAATAGCAATAATAATAAAATTTTAGCTTGTATAAAATAATCCCTGGTGGATTGTACTCATGTAAGTTAGGGGTGCTGCTTGAATTTTTTTGTCTTATTACGTTATTTATACACTACTAATTTACTAAACTTAAAACTCTGGTTTCTGTCATTTCAGAATTCAAGAAAATGTCCAAAAAAATCTTTGCTCCTCCAGTAGTTAAATCCTACTGTGTTCCCTTTGGAAAAGGTGAATTGGAGCTTCATGGCAAACAAGAAGATGGAGTTACAGTCAAATCCATAAATATATCACCAACCCAAAGTAAAAGACAGAAAGAGAACATGTCTAATGCAGAAAAGAAATCCCAGGGCAAGAAGAATTTGGAAATGATCAAGAATGTAGGTGGGATAATAGATTTTGCTCCCTTGAGTGAGAATTCCCAAGTCAGAGTTTCAGAACAGGAAAAACTTAGGGTACTGGACTTTCATACCACCAGCTTCTCCTTGAAAAATTAGGATGGACAATTAATATGTGAATTTCATTTACATGTTCAAATTCCAGTTGAATTCCAGCTATATATCAATACATCTGCCATTAAACAATCAGCTATCTCTATTCATGCTATGCTAAAAAAATTATCCACTTAATACAATTTTACTTTCCTTGCTTTTAGAAGATATTTAAGCCCAATATTTTTATCCTGTGAAACAGAATGCCAATATTAGGAAGCAGCCTCCAAGAACATTTCTCTGGATGCTCTTGTATATTAGTGAAGGAAAGACACTGCAGTTGTTGAGAAGAAGCTGTGTTTCTTCACCATGTTTTTCTTCGTACTTGATTTATATATAAGCTCATAGTTAGAAAATCACAGGGCAGTTTACAAAGGCAAAACAATATAGAATTACAAAATGTAAAATGACAGAACACAAAGGTTTGATACTAAAATTCCTGACCTCTTCCTCCTCCTCCTCCTCCTCCTCCTCCTCCTCCTTCCAACCTGTATTGTGACTGTAAATTAATTACTCTTGCCTGTGTATCTCTGGAGCATCATGCAGATGTTTCCTAGAAGTTTTATTTTCTTATAGACAAACATTGGGAAATGCACAGTATACAGTCAACAGAAGCTTTCCCTTTACTGAATTTAAATCAGTTTAAACTACATGAGATATTCAGATATTCTTTCTCTCTATTTGTGGAAGGAATGGGATGAGAATTCATCTACAAAATATTCAGTAGTTTCTAGAACAAAACAAAGATTATTGTGGCACTTTAAAGGACAAGCAAATGTATTATAATATAAGGCTAGGATTATGCATGTTGAAATCCAGTGCATCTGGAAAGCACCAAGTTGGGGGAGGCTTGTTTAAAACCTCAAGGGCAAAAATCAACACTTTTAATTGTGTTTGAAAACTACGAGGCAGATCCAGAACTAGGAGACACCAAATAAGTCGCTGGGCTGCATTTTAGATTCAGAGAAGATTCCAACCTATTTAAAAAATAGCCCCACTCAAGTTTTATATTTATCATACGGTACTCAGCTGCTTCCACCAATCTCTTTTCATCTTTTGATAGGAAAAGGGGAGTCTCACTGATGCACAATTTGAGGAGATTGTCCAAAGTGTACTTCAAAAGTCTTTGCAGGAATGTATGGGTATGTTGAAACTGGAGAGAGAGAGGCAGAAAGATAAAAAGCAATTGCTGTAACATAAAGATGAACATTAAATATCTGATACGTTCCACTGAGCTTGACAAGATGAGAAGATAATGATTTTGCATAACTTGCCAGGTGTTATTCAGGCTACTGTGAAACATGGGTAGGGCATTCTTTCATAAGAGCACTAAACACTAGTTTAAAAATAATACTAAAAATAGCTGACAGCGGTGGAGACCATCACAAAAGAAAGTGGGAGAGTTTGTCCCCACTTCACCTTGCAACAGCCAGACCCCCACTGACAGCTGACACCATGTTTAAAGTAGCCTGAAGAACATCTGAAGGTGCTGCAGGGGGCACGTGGTGATGAGGAATCTTTCCTGCTTCACCACACTTCCCTTCTCAGCTCTTTCCTGCATTGACTGACGGGCACTAGCAACAAGGAGTTGGCTGTTTCCCCACAAGTTCTTCAATCACACAGTGCATCTCCATGAATCCGATACCCGGTGGGGGAAGAGCCAGCAGCTCCCTCCGCATTTCTGTTGCCACCCATCTGAATTATGGTTGCCTGGCAGGAGGGGCAGGAGTGAGGAGAGATGACTCTTTCCCACCAGCTCTCCAATCCCACAGAATGGCTGGTAGGTACAGGGTGAGAGCCTGCCTGAAAGAAAGCAAGCCCTCATGCTACAAAAGCAGTATGGCCTTGGCTGGAAAACAGGGCCCAGGAGGGGAGGGGGCACACCAGCAGCAACCTAAAATGGCCAAGAGGTGTGGGCAGATCCTGCCCCCGATCACCTCATCCACTGACACATCAGGCATTGTGTGTTATTTGAACAGCAAAGCTTGTACTGGGAGAAGATGGAAGAGCCCACATCAGCTCAGGAAGAGCTAAAGACAAATTTAAGCCTCTGTGTTCTAGGCTTGGGTTGAGAAAAGGCAACGTAAGGTGACATGCCCTTTTAAAATGGTTAGCAGGGCATCTTCGTCCTGTGGCTGGCAGCATGAGGGAATGCACCCTTAGTGGGCTATAAGATGGGTAGGAACTGGCCGTGAGATGCAGTTGCCAAACAAGCTAATGGGATCTCAGGTTGTATTCATGGCAATGGAATGTCCTGGAGGCAGGAAGTCATGTTGTGTCCACGGTCAGTCATGCTACTCTGGGGACACCATGCCCGCTTTTGTGTGCCTCGTTTTAAGAAGAAGGCGGACAAGCGGGCCAACTGGACAGTGAGAAGCAGTTGTGGATATGAGCACCGTACCCTAGTGCTATGGTCAAGGGCTGCCCATGCTGCCCATTGCCAATGCCTCCATTCTGCATGGAAGGGGTTGAACGAACGGATGCTTTGCTATGGTCCGCCATTTCCATTCCACCCTGGCACCAGCAGCCTTCAAGCTCCTAGCCCATTAACTCTGCCTTCCCAAGCTGTCAGCCATACTCAGGCCTTAAGGGGTGGCATACAGCTGGTGAGAGGACTGCAGATCGTCCTGACAGAGATTGCGTTTATACTTGAGAAGAAATTAAGGAGTGACATCTTGTCAGCTTCCAATATCTGGAGGCTGCCTTGCAGAAGAGGGAGCTGAGTTGGTCCAGATAAGAGAACGTGGAATGGCAATCAGTTTTCGGCAAAACTTGGCAACAGGAAGACATTGCCTCAGGATCAGTAGACTTTCATTCCTGCAGGTATTTAAGCAGAGGTAGGCAGCCATGTGATAGCTATTTATTTATTTTCTAATATGCTTTTTACTAGTCAAACTTGAGGCAGCACACAATAACACAACTAGAACAAAACAGTCACTAAACCTAATATTAAACATTAAAATTAAACAAATTCAACATAATACTTTTCCCCTATTTAAACTGCACAGATTTTAATCTTTGGAATTTAGCTTGCAGAGCTATATAAAACTGTTTCATTGTTGTTTCCAGAAAAGTTTGAGAAGAGAGTTGTTTCAGCAGAGTCTACTGAAGAACAGCATTCAAGAAGGTGAGTACTACATAGAACTTTGATTCTGTAAGTAAAGTTAAATTTCTCTTGACTGAAGCTCGGCTTCCCGTGTCTTCACGCCCACGTAGCTTTCTTGACAACAAAGCAGAAATAGTTCCAATGGCTGCTTTCAGGAATATGTTTTCCCCAACCTATCTACAGCCCTGGGACTTCCTTGTGGTTTCCCATCCAAGTAGTAAGCTCTATTTAGCTTTTCAAGATTAGCCAAGGTCGACGAAGGCCATACTGCCATCTGCTGTAGAACTGATTGTGGGATATACTATTTTGATTCAATACGAAAAAATGTTCCCATTCCCTGAAGCACCTCAAGCATTCTGCATGTGAAAAAAAAACTACTTTTGTGGTATGGATATTGTCAATCTGTGTTTAACTGATGCAGAAGATAGCAAAGAACTAATACAATTATACAGAATAGCAGCAGAACTGAAGTTATAGGTCACTTCTTTCATGTCCTCCTTGTTTCTTGTCTGTCTCTTGCCACGGTGCTCTGAAAGCCACAGAAATGTAGTTGTGAGAGCAAGAAAATAGAAAATGTGATGCCATCTGTGCTTAAACACTACATAGAAAGATACTGAGTTTCACATGATTTAAGAAGGGAGGCTGATAATTTGGTCAAGACTAGTTTAAAAGGGCAGAAAATGGGCTCCTTTGCCAGAAAGAGAAAATATGAAAGAGGCAAAAATGAAATAACTGTGGAATGCTGTTCCAGTGAGCGTTCATTAGTCCAGCCTAATAAATCACAGGCCTCCTCAGGCATTTTGCTCTCATTATGAGCCTCTCTCAACATGCAGTCAGCTCTCGCTCAAGTTATGGGAGCATCACATCAAGTGTTTCCACATAAGAAATCAAAGAACGCTTTATGTTTTTTCCACTCTATCTGCGCCATTTGTGAGTGTTTTTCAGTGAGGGACAAAATGCAGAAGGAAGCCCTTAGCATGGGATTTTCACTCCTGCTTACAAATGAAGGAAAAGAGGAAGCTTCCGCTCTGAGGATGCCTTGAGAGCTCTCCAACCTCCACCCTCATCAATAGTAATATTCAGGAAAGCAACCCAGCAGCTTGCAGATATGGACACATCATTTTGTGGCCTCACGGTGGTGCCCAAGTACAGGCAATCCAGATGGCAGACTTGAGCAGCTGATGGGTTGGAGCCTAACAGCACATCTTGGACAATAGGAAAGAAGTTCTGATAGTGTGCGGCTGCTATTTCTTAATTTTGAATGGAACAATGATAGCCAGAAGGGTGTTCTTAATCTTTGCCCTGCATGTAATTTATCTCAGTGTGATTCCGGGTAACTTTCCTTTCATAAGACAAGATTCAAAATGCTGGTAACCAAGCCTGGGAAGGGGAGGGCTAGGTTCCCACAACATGTTGGACTAAGCTAAAATAGGGTTAGGTAATTTAAAGGGGTTTTTTTGAACTTGTATTTGCTGAATCCACCCCCGTGCCCCAAATGGTTAACAGTGTTGTGCTGATAAAACATCCAAAGTAGGTAACATTAAAACATCCAGACTAAAAGAATAATAAAGCATACGTAAAACAGTTTATAGTTTAGCATTCAGGAAATCAGCTATTGTTCTAGCCTATTGTGTGAAGCAGTTAAATGAAACCATAATATAATTATTTATATTATATAGCATATTATATGGCCACAGCAACAGTGTTTTGTGAACCAGGTCATAAAAAGAAATTGGGTCAAAAAAGCAGTGACAAGGATTAAGTGACTCCTTCTCTCTCCCCCACCACCACACCCCAAGGCTTTTCTTTAAAGAAGTAAACCTGGGTTCTGAAACATGCATTTCCTTTCTCCCTAAAGCGTGTAGCTGTTCTTTGGACAGGGCAGAGGGAAAGGCTCACTCCTTTGCTCCAAATCAGGGGAATTTGAGAGAAACCTATATGTTCAGAGTAGCCTTTATTGAGAACTGGATTGGCTATTCTTCTTTCACTGGAAAAACTGAGACTCTTTGCTGGACCCTTTGTTATTGGACCCTTTGTTTGCATATTTATTATATTAATATCCATCTTTCCTCCAGAGTCCAAGGTGCCCTGTGTAGCACTCCTTCTTCCAGTCACCCTCAATAATAATGTTATGAGGGAGGCTAAGAGACAGGGACTGACAAAAGTCATCCAGTGAGTCTCCATCCCTGAGGCTGCATAGAATGTGGACCTCCTTGGTCGTAATCTAACGTTCAGCCTCTACATCTCTGTGCCTCTCCTATGTGCAATACATCCTAAGCTACACACATTCTATATCCATAGTAGCAAATAACATCCAGCTGTGGCTTGTTTTAGGTTTTGCAAGAGGGTGAGTTTTCACCCATCTTACTGAGGGGGGATTAATAATGTGCTTGTGCTGTTTTCTCAGGGAGACTTTGGAGGCATTTCTAGCCGCAGAGGGTAAAGACCTGGGGAAGAAAACTGAAGTAATGCTTTCAGAGGTGGAACAGAAAGAACACCAGTTAAAAATGAAGAAGCAGAGCAAATGTTGTGTCAATAAGGGTGAAGAAAATATAAGTACGTTTTTTCATGAAAATACAGAGCAAAACGCTCTGTGACCAACTTCTGCTGGCAGGAAAGGGGGCTGCGCAAGTGCAGCTCTGTTGGGCAAGGGCAGAATTCGATGGTGTGGATGGGAAGTCTAGCAAGGGAAAATGACAGCACGGTCCCTAGCAAGAGAGCTCAGCAGAGTTACGAGGGGCAGATTGGTATCTACGTTATTTCCAGGGTTTCAAAACAAGCTGCTGTAGCTCACCGTTTCCTCTTCCAGTCCAATAGTGCTGTTGTTGCCACCACATTACTCTTCTGGTGTTTTTATTAAGAAGAAAAACACACACACACAATGGACAAAATACTTATTTTTCTTTGTCTCCTGGCAGATGAGAAAGCAGAAGCAAACAATGTAGGGTGTAAGGAAAACCGGAAAGGAGAGCCCAAGAAAATAGCTCAAGGCAACGCCCAAGACGTCATTGACCAAAAGGAAATGCAGGAGGAGGAGGAGAAGGCAGACGGAGGAAGTGGCAACAGCAGTGAGCTGAACTGTGCCTATATTCCAAAAGGGTTTCAGGGAGGATGGGCAAATGGGTGGTGGTCAAATGCCGCAAACCACACCAGGCAGCCAGGCCGGGGTTCTTCTCTGGACTGCAGTTTTGTAGTTTTGCAAAAAGTCCATGGGAATGGAGAAGAGCCACGTGGTGCTTGCTCCTGGATCAGGTCCATGCACACGTGATCCCAGGATGTCTGTCCAGCAACAGAGCTGATTAATGTTTGGCTCCACTGAGACTCATAAACAAACTCACTGAACCACAGTTTCCAGGAGGGCCTGGGTTCAGACCATCTCTCATTAGCAGAAATGCTTGCTTCACCTTACCTCTTATGCTCATTCCCCTTCCCCTTCTCTAGCATTTCTCTGCTGTTTTCTGCTGGGCAGAAGGATGGTGCCTTGATAGTTTTGTAGCCTTCCTATCCTCAGTTGCAAACACTTGTAGTTTTGCAAAGTACCAGTGTATAATTTAACTGATCACCCCAGGCTTAAAGAAACCAATGCAATGCCTATCAGAGTTTTCATGAACATCCCTTGAGAAGCTGTTGAAAAGGCTCCCTCTTATATGTTGGCTTGCGAGATAATCTTCTGTTAAGAAAGCTTAGCTTGTGTGGAGGAGCGTGGTCTTGCTTGGTGTAAAACTGGCTGCATTTGCAGCATACTGGCCAAAATATGTTAAATCCAGCACGTATTAGTGGCTGGATAGGAAGGAAGGAAGGAAGGAAGGAAGGAAGGAAGGAAGGAAGGAAGGAAGGAAGG